AGGTGAAATTCCCATGAATTGAAGCAATATGTTTCTCAGTCGGTGTTTTGGCTACATTTGTATTCAGCCAGGCTTTGTTGTATTTTATGTGGGGAGGAACGTTGCGTGACGACGCTAAAAACGGCTGTGTAGCAGACTAAATAAACTGCAACTGATACAAATTATTTGAAATGTCATGTTTTACTCCAAGCACTTCACTTGCCACTGGAATCTGCTAGTAATATCTGTCATGTGGCTAATGTATAACAAAATGGTTGATGCTGAAAGACCATCTGCAGTAATTCATACAGTTCCTGATGAGGTTCCCTCTGAGTCACGCACGGACGAAACAATAGCGTCCCTTTAGGACAGGTACCGCTTTAGACCTCCACCACCAAATCGTCTTTCAGGTACTCTCCCTGTACTGAAGTGCAGCGCCCTAGTCTTCTTGGAGGCTGCGGGGTACTGAAATAAGGCCAACTTTATGTGGAATTGTTTAGAGTTTTGTTGTATGCTGTATACAAGAACGTCATTTCCTGAAATTCGTGTTGCCATTTCAGGTGACAGGCTAATTTTTGGTGTTTTTACTGTACTATTTGTGAAATGAAACCAAATATTTTTGAGATTTTTAGAACTTTTTCCAGATATGTAGAAAAAAAAATTGGGAATTTCCAGAAACATATTTAGGCGATTTTAGGTGATATTTGTATCTAGGGCTACAAGATCTCTAATGTTCTCCATGCCAATATCCCTCCGCAATGTCTTTATGTAGGCAGTTGTCGGACTGGCTCCCTCTTGCAGCCCTTGCAGGTGTTTTGCTTGTCTTTCCAGAATATATTTTTCACCATTTGCAGACTTTTCGTGTAAGTTCCATCTAGGCTCTTAGCTTTTCTTCTTTTTTGGATATGTTCTGTTCTGAGTAACCGACGCCTAGCCTGAGGAAGAGAAGCGAAGGGGCCGGGAACGATCTCGGACGTCTGAGATTCCACCCCGAAACATTTGTCATTTTTACGAAAAAGGCCCCACCTTGCGAGGACAACATAGAAGTTATATATTTTTGAACAAAGCTGAAAACTGATTGCAAAACAATAAACTTAACCTCCCGGCTTAACCTTAATAAAAACAAACTGGAAAAAACCGACTTGAAAATTTTGCCGCTAGTCGGGAAGAACTTCGAGGCTCCTGATTTTGACGTTAAGAAAGTGACTATAGTTAGAGTCGAATGTTATTTAAAGCAAAAATTATGCTGACAGGACCAAAAAAGTCTTAATCAACCAGTAACAACGGGATGGCTCAGTCGTCACACAACTTTTGAGTCGTCACGCACGTTGCGTCACGACAAAATCTTCTTGAAATGCGCGGTGCCCTGGGAACGAGCGTTGTTTGGCAGAAGGCACGAAGGCGCCATTTTTGACTCGTTTGGTGAGTTTCACCATCAAATGTGTGCTGTAAAACACTATGTTATAAACGAACTGGTAATGGGCAGAGCTTAACAGAAACGTGCAAGGGGAAAGAATCCTCAAATCACTTCTAAACAGAGAGATAGATGGTCTTTATGAGGATACGAAGGTAAGTTGATCAAACTTAGCTGTTTGCTAAATTTAAGCTGCTGAGAAATTATGATAGCTTAATTGAGGACGCTTTGTAGCTCAGTTAGCGAAGATACTTACGATTTGTAAGGCTACTCACTTTCAAAAACGTTTCCTTGAATAAAAATTTAGTTCATTTCAAAGCGAGCGTCTTGTTAGACTCTATCTTCAATTGCAAGAATCGCGCGGATCTACATGAGCAGGTCATAGAATGAGTGTCACTTAAAAGCGAACGTCAACCTAATACCACTTACACTTATTTTAGACGTCTTTTTTGCCAAAGCCTCTCATTTTTCTTAACTCCATATTTCAAATGGGGTGGCATTCCCCCTTGATATGTTGTTTTTAATATTGTTTGGTGGAACTTGCAGAATTATCTTGCTCCACTGCAATGTCCGCTAAAGAACAAAAATGGCTGCCAAGCAGGAGGCAAAGCTACAGAGGAAACTGTATCAAAGTACGCCGTTTTTTGTACCAAGTTCCTAAGGTGTGCTATAGAGACCTTGAAAAATGTGAAAGCCAAAGGAAATGACCTTATTGAGGTCACAGATGCCTTGAAACTAGGTAAGATGAAGCATGTGAACATCTTTAGTTGCTGTTTGGGAGTAAGGTCTTTTCTGAGTTCCTAAAATAAGCTTAATGCTTACTCTTAAAATGTGGCCAGCTTCAAAACCTTACTAATTGAATGAAATTCAACTTATTTTTAGAACTACTTTGTCAATGTGGTATTTCCAGCTCAAATGACTATCCACTAAGACACCTAGATATTTTACATGATCCTTACACTCAAGGAAAGTAAGAATGTGATTAATATTATCAAACAGTAGAATATTGTTCGAATGGTCCATCTTACGTTGGTGAGGACAAAAGATAACAAAGTTTGATTTTTTAGCATTTAATGTTAGCTTACTTGCATTGAGCCAATCCGAGACTCTGACCAGTTCGTTATTGACCATTTTTTCAAGAGATTTAAATTTTAAATTTTAAATTTTTGTCAGCATACAACAAATTTGTGTCATCTGCAAAAAGGTAAAATGAAAATTTCGCTGAAGAATAAAACTTTACAACCTACTTATGGTCTGGGACTCCCACATACATACAACACATTTCCCAGTGGAAGGAAATAGCATTTTCAACATGGTGTAAGCAGGGCACAACAAAGTGCTATCTGATAATCCAGAGCCAGTAAGGCTTAAATATGGGTCAAATATAAGTTGTCCGATAAGCAAACCACATTTGAGAGAGTGTGAGATTAATAGAGGGCTATAAAGATACATTTAACTTGCAAATTGTTCTGTTCATATTTCAGTGGGGACACTTCTCAACAACACTTTATCACTCTGTTATGGCAACTACCTGAAATTTTTTCCTTCAGTAGATCAGCTTGCTAAAACACTTTACCTTATTGTTGCTCAGCTCATTGCCAAGGCACAGTTTGAAAGGGCTCTGGATCATGCTAATGACCTATATAAATTCATCCAGCTTCTTAAGGCATGGAAGAGCTACGACAGTGAAAAGATGGACAAGGAAATTGGATCACTTTGTTTACATTCAACTGATCTGTTACTTCAAGGAGCAGGGAAGCTTGAGGAAGCAAAAGTACCTCCAGGGGAAAGACCATCTCACTTGTGTGTTGTGTTAGAATGGAGAAAGCTCTCATTACTTTTTCAAGCAGAAGCAAATGTACATTCTTCACTAAAATCCTTGGTAGATAGAACTCTGAAATGTGGGACAAAATTTCAAGTGGATTGTGGGCCCAAGAATGTTGATTTTAAAACCTTAGCAAGCTTCTTTGAAACCATTTTTAGTGCACTCATGAACAAGCAAGAACAACTGATTGCAAATGGACAAGAATTTACAGTTCTCTTGGCTGAACTTGGATTTCATTATGGCAGAATTTGTAATAAGGCTGGAAACTCAACAGAAGCTTTGGTTGTGTTTGATAACCTGTTGAAAATTGCAGGAAATGAAAACCATTGCAAAAATGGTCATTTTAAACTACAAATACCTCCACAAGTTTGTTGTTGTGTGTGTTTAGTCTGCAAGGCAGCTATTTCGTTGAACTCTACTATAAAATCTCAAACTCAAGAATCTCTTCAGCTGATGTTATTTGAAAGTAACCAGCTAATCTCCCAGATCCTGAACTGTAGCACATTACCTTCACCAATGTTAAAACTACTTTCAGACTCCCTGGAGTACTTCAGAATTAATTTGCAAAATGAAAGTAACAAAAAGAGTAAGGAGAAATCACCCACTCTTTCATTGAAGACTCTTCAAGGAACAGTAAAAGTGCTGCAGTCTTACATCTCAGTCTTATCTTTGCAGTGTGGGCGGCTTAAGTCAGAGCTGCTTAAATCCAAACATGACAATATCGTGGCACAGCTAAAACAACAGGTTCTAAAGACCACAGAACGGCAAATGACAGTATTTATTTTTGTTATTTCTTCATATCAAGATCAGTTGAAGAATGAAAAAGATGCAAAAACTACAATCAGGGATTCAAGGTCAGTAGTATCACACAACGTTTAAAACAGTTAACTACAGTGTACACACTGTAGTTTAAGGAAAGGATTACATGTATGTTGTTGTTTTATTTCTCTTTGTTTTGGGGCATGTTAATAGATGAAAATGAGTGAAAAACAAAGGGAAACAGTGTGCAAAGAGAGTAGTATCTGATACCCTGGGGCTAGTGGATTTTGCCATTGGTCTATTGAATTCTGCTCTTAACTTGCCTGATGGGCAAGTGAAGTATTTTGAGGAATTCAACTTACAGAAGTACTTTAAAATCAATTCTTGGGGGCTTAAGTTGAAATGACGTTTGGGCTAGTAAATGCTAGCTTCAGCTTGCCCGAATGGCAAGCTGTAAAAATGACTTTCCTTGCACCCTGGGCCCAGTTGTTCAAAGGCGGATTAGCGCTTAACCCGGGGTTACATTTAACCTGGGTTTCTTTTTCTTATGTTCAAAAGCATTTTATCGGATAATTTTCTCTCTTATTTTTAGAGCTTCCAATCATCAACTTGTGGACAAAAAGAATTAAAACTAAAATGCTTTTTTAAGCTTTTAAATCTGAATTCAAATCTCGCACTAACCCTGGGTTATCTTAACCCAGCTTTGAACAACTCGGCCCTGGGAAATAAAATGTAAACCAAGGATAAATTTGAACCATAACATATACATGTAACACTGGTCAAACTTTTATTGTATATCCAGTATCCTGAACTCTTGCCAATCAACCTAACGATTCTTGAAACAAAATTACAAAATATCTTTTTTGTGTTGCACACAAATGGGGATATACACAGTAGGCAATATCTCTGACAAGATGGCATTTTGGGGAAGATGTACTGTAAGTAGTCTGGGTGTAGGAAGGTCCAAAGAGACTGAGAAAAATTTAGTAAGAATATCTATAAAGAATACGGAAATGAATGAATGAATGTACAGCTGTTGGTAGACCCTTACAAAGAACTACAGAGTCAAACGTTACTGGTTATCAATCTTGGGACAGTTTACTGTACTGTTATGTTAACACATTCTTTTTTTACACCATGCAGATGTCAGATCTTTAAGGACTGTATTCCAGTAGTGGAACAAGCAAACTCTGTAATTCATTCTGCCCTTGATGATCCAGACATCCTATTGACTCCAAACGAGCTCTGCTGGCTAGGCTGCAATGTGTACAATTTGGGCTGTGTGTCATATCAGAGAGATTGCTTTACTGAAGGAGTTCCTCTGTTAGCGATTGCTTGTGAAGAGCTGAGAGTATGGTGCTTTGCTGGCAAGACTGATGAGGAAATTTTTACAAGGACTGTGGAGGTAATTTGGCCTTAACCCTTGTAGTTTTTCTTTCATACTTTGTGGCATGAAATTTTTGTGGGATTTTTGTGTTTTGCGGGAACAAATTTTGCAATTGAAGAGATTGGTTTTTCTTGCTGGGAATTGATTTTTGTGATTTCAGAAAGTCCCAGACCAGTCATTGTTAATATTTTCCTTTTTATTAAGTATGCACAATGGAAATGCATACAGTGAAGAACATTTCAAACAATTAATGCTACAGTTTGTGTACCCCACACTGTATGTAAAACCAGTGTAACAGATTACTTTTCTTTGTCATTCGATTATAGTAACATCTGGGATGACTGATAGTTCTGATGATCGATTGGAAGAATTTAAGTTGGAAAATATTTACAGTGGAGAAATTTTTTTGCAGGAAATATTTGTGCCGGAAAAATCACAAAAATTATAACCCGCTAAAATTTTGTGCCACAAGGTAAATGATGTACCATTTTGATAAGCCCAGTAGTGATTATTACCAAATTTATCCTTATAATACAGTTACTAGTGCTCATCAATCATTGTTTTAATATTGGGTATTAAATACTTGTTATTCTTTTTTTTTGCACTGTGCATAAAACGCCACATCAATGGTTTTCTTTTTTTCTGAGAAATGGAAGCAAACATGCACTTGTGATGTTAACCCACCAGATGGGTCTTACAGTAGTCTGTCCTGTCGTGCCATCATTAATAATATAATGTACTGATTTCTTTTAGGTGAAGCTCCTAACAAAATTTGCACTGCTGAATGACTGTCAGCGACGAGCCAAACAGATGGCTGGTGCACTAACAACAATTACCACTCAGGTTCTTATAATACTTCAAACTGGTTCTGATTCAAATGTCTTAAGGCAGCAGATCAAACAATGGACCACAGTGAAACATGAACTGGTGAAAAGTATGCAAGATGAAAAGAAACAAGCTGAAAGATCAAGGTTTGTCGTGAATTTTCATTAACAAATTAATTTTGATTAAAACCACGCATGCGCCAGTGGTTGAGAATATATGAAGATGTCATATTTTATTACAACTGCATGAATCCTTCAGTGAGGAGCCCTTTTCTAAAAATTATGAGATTCTGTTAGTCCAAATATGTTATGTCATGTCTTACCTGACTTTCCATATTTTTCTCCATTTACTGTAGAACCCTGTGCAGTGTTTTAGCAGAACAGAAAGATGCTGAAGATATTGACAGCAGTCAGCTTTGTTTAGTTCTTCAGGAAGAGCTTGCTTCTTACAAGGCAAAGAAGTAGGTTCTCAAAACGACAGACATCACAAGGTTTCTGGACCTGTTGCAGAAACAGGGAAAGAGTTCCTCGTTTTAATTGTCCATTTAGCTCTTTCATTACCATGCATACAACAGTGTATGAAACAGATCCTGGAAAGAAATATTACAGTCAAACCGGGAAAACTGTGAACACCAGAAATATTTCTGGAATGCTATTGTACTGCAAGAGAAAAGCCAGTCAGGCATGAGAAAACTAAAGCACAAGCAAGAACGTTAGTTTGTGGTTTTGTGGCCAGTTCGCGTTTCCTGATCTTTGCTGTGATTGGTCGTAACACAATAAACATTTTGAGATATTTCAAGTGTTCATAGTTTTCCCAGTCACACTGTAAGGACATGTGAAAGTACAGTGTACATGTGCATGTATTCCTGACATGACTACATGTATAATCATGAGCCCCAGCTACTCTCATAGGAAACAAAAGGAAAATACATGTAGAACCAAAAGAACTTCCTAGCTGTACAATACCCCTCCTACTAATTACATATACCTGACAACTTGAAATTTTAGCAACAGCCTTATGCTGATGATGAGGTTTCATAAAAAAGATCTCTTTTATTTCATATACTGTACTCAGTCTCCCAAAAAAGTTTTGTCCTTTATACATTTGTCTTCAATTGTCATTTGAGGGGTTGATTTGAACCCAGAGTCACTTCATAAGTAGGTAAAATATGATTGTTGGGGTGAGCGTTGTCCTGAATATTGCTGATGATGAGGTTTCATAAAAAAGATCTCTTTTATTTCATATACTGTACTCAGTATCCCAAAAAAGTTTTGTCCTTTATACATTTGTCTTCAGTTGTCATTTGAGGGGTTGATTTGAACCCAGAGTCACTTCATAAGTAGGTAAGATATGATTGTTGGGGTGAGCGTTGTCCTGAATATACATTGTAATAGGACTGTTGTTGACTGGAACAGAGATGATCCTGGGTTATCCTTTATCCCAATTCTCTTTTGAACAACTCTGGGCCCAGTATTGTAATTTAATGGTCTACATGTATATTTTCTCTTATTTCTAGTTACGACACCACAAGGGAGCAATTTTCTGTCATCAGACAGCTTATGGAGTTGTACATTATCCAAGATGATGAGTTTCATTATGGTTCAGTGATGCTTGAGCTTGGTGTGGCATTGCACAGCCTTGGAGACAAAGATCTTGAGGAGGAGAAGTGAGTCTAAAGCTTATGTGTGTTCTGGTTTAGTATGTGGCATTTTGTCTTACATTTAGGTAAATGACTATGGAATAGCAAAAATACATGAACATCAAACATTCTCTTGTTTGATCACAAAGTGTAACTTGTGGTAAAGGTAAAGGCACATTTAACCAGCTGTTTTGTTACAATGTCATTCAGGGAACCTTATATGGCCCATTATGAAGCCAGTCACTTAAGTATTATTGTAAGACTTTTTATAAGCAAAGACATTTTTTGAAAAAAGATTTTGCTTTGCTTGAACTTTACACAGTATACAGACTGAACACAAGTGATGCATTTTGGTATCCATTCCCTGTGGATTCCATGCTCTTGTGATAATTGATGGTGAAGTGTCATCATGGTTGTTGAAGTGTAGAAGGATGTTCATGGTTCATATCTCTAATTGGGCAATATCCCAATCCCCAGCCAGCCCTCAACAATAGCCCTAAACATTGTGATATTCTTTGCACTAGGTCTGCACTTGAGTGCTGTCAAGAAGCAGCTGCAATTCTGGAGCGGCTGGCGGACACAGATGAGGACAAAAATCACCTGTCACTTGTGCAGGACAGACTTGCTGCAGCATATTTATGGCAGGCATTGTTAGAGCACAAAGCAACAATGGAAGACAATCCACAAGTGGAATCACCCAAGGAACTCAGTGAAAGTTATGACACAGGGGAGGTACTTGTACCTTTTTTTTTTTCTTCAGAGGATGTGTAAATCAGGCCCCAGTTGTTCAAAAGGTGGATAATGCTATCCACTGGATATATCACTATCCTGTGGATAGCCCACAATTGTTTGTTATTTGATCCACTGACTGGATAGTGATTTATCCGGTGAATAGCCCTATCCAATGTTTGAACAACCAGGGCCAGAAATATATGGGAATGGGCTGGGGGTGGTCAGATGTGATACAGTGTACCCCTTGCTCCCTTTGATTACCTGCGTATTTCCTTTTGTAGTTATTTTAGCCCCCCTTCCTAAGTCCCCTTCCACTGGCATCCAATTGCAAACTTACATAATGAACTTATTCCTATATGACTGCTCTTTTTAGGTCGAAGGCGTATGTCTGGAGCAGCCATTTATGTCATCCCTTCATTCAGCATTGGAAACGTGGACAGTGTTAGCAAATAGATCAGTGCAAGAAGGGACCGGCCAAAAGGTAGAGTTTGGGCATTATTATTGTGCAGTTTAGTTTTTTATGATACATGTCTACTGGGTCAGAGGCAAGAAAAGAGAGCACTTCTTTTTTTCTCATCCCCTGAAAACTTACTCACAGGTTAAAACATGAAAAGTTTGGAAACTTGATCAGTCTGGATAAATACTATAGATTTATTTATGCAATATCTGTTGTTCTTTTTGCAGATTGACTTGCAACACTTTGTTAACCCTGAGGAAACTTGCCATTACCTTCTGATTATTGCTGGAATGTTTGGACTTGTCAACCAGGTAAACTGAAAGGAAATAGAAGGCTGTTTCTGGGGACTGTCTCATGGAACAGTAACTGATGCAAGTTGTGTTAGGTTCTTTCTGCTGATGAGTTCTAAAAGAACAACAATAACTGTGGTATGTTAAAAAAGCAGTGCTCATTACAAAAATCAAAACATGTTTTCAATGAAAAGACTATATAAATAGAAGTTAATCTCAAGATTACATAACTTTTTAAAATTAGTCGCTGAGGGTGAAAGGAATCATATCAACATCTAAAAATCATGCGTTATCTACTTCAGTGACTTGCAGCGTCCCTTGGGAAACTAGTTTATATCTTAATGTGTCCATCAATCCAACCTCAGGAGTTTGAAATAATCTGGAAACAAAATATGCAAATGTGCTTCAAATAAATAAGCCCTCTGGGGGCTAAGTAGGAGAAGGGATTTACAGTAAACTGTTTTCCTTGCAACCAATCATTGAGTAATTTTTAACTTTTTACAGCCATTCAAGAAGGTGTGTGCTCTTCATCTTGCTGCTACTATTACCCAAACAATCAGCACCAACAGTATGCTGGATAATAGAATATCTGCCTGTAGTGAAGCTGTTCATACTCTGTGTTATGTACTGGACATTTCTCATGCTAGTCTTCTGCTGCATCAGACCAGTGATGTGTTGGAAACCTTTAAACCAAGTGGTTCAGTTATGGTCCAGTTTCTGTTGGCAAAGAGTCACTATCTGTTAGTGGCAGGAAAGGTGAGTTTGTTCCAGAATCATTTCTTTTGCCTTATTCCTCTAAACGCAGGAGATAATGAAAATTATAAGCCAAGAGCTACTTACTTATAGTCCAATTTAATCTGTTATAAAATTTATTATTTCACATATACATTGTACATTTACAACTTGCAATGTATGAGTGTTTGCTATAATTATAATCTATGCTTGTCAGTGCTTGTGTATAGTTTACAAAAGCATAATTGTGTAAAACTTTTTTAAATAATACTTACAGTCTCTATCGATTTGTCATTCCTATGTTTTTGCATTTCCATTCCTTTTTAATCTGAGAGAATAATATTGATGCACAAAATGTTGCCATGCACATGGATGTTGTTATCCAAGGTATCAACAGAGGTTTTGCCGCTGATAAATTGACTCCAAATGTGCAATTTCTGATTTTGTTATTTAAAGACCTGAACCCATGATTGAACTCATGGGATTTTAACACCAGTTGTAAATTGGTGCTTTAACAGTATCATACCATAAAAGCTTACAAGCAACTTAAAATGTCCTTATATTATGTTATTTACTTACAAGTACTGGATTAGTACTGGTACCTCATTAAAGTTGTAACATCATTATGATATAGTCCAGGGCTGATTTGCATGTGTGTGAATTTTGGATGGTTATTGGCTGAGTGGGCCTGGGCAAGTAGGGTTTTCTGTCAGCTTTCACCCTTGGATTAAGTTAATGGTTGTGGCCCATGGGTCCTTAACTGTAGCCTTTTAGAAATAACATGTTTCTAGATACTCCATCTGCGAGTTTTGCGTTTACGTTTTTTTATCAAAATACTGGCAGAATATTTTGGTTATCCAAGGTTGTGCTTTAGCAGGAAATAGTTCTTTAATAGGAATCCTATCCTGGCAGTGATTTTGTTACCTCTGGTCTGTGTCTTGCGTCCCTGGCTCATAAAAATCCCCAAAGATGCAAAATAATTCATTGCATGTGTCCTGTAGGACACAAAGATTGATTAATCGATCTGAAGATGTGAATATCTGGCCCATTCGTGTAATTTGTTTTGGCAGTTATTATGGCTGTTGTTTAACGATGCTTTTTTCTTTTAGCCTTTGTTGTGCTTTAAAATAGAAGGACAATATCATTCAAATTTCAGTAAACTTTAATACAGAACGTTTCAGTCTGTCTTTAGATTAACTGCCTGGTTACATAAAGGCCCAAGCATTTTCAATTCAGGACTTGTTGGTTCTGGACTGGGACTCATGATTTTTCTCAAGATGAGTCCCAGGACTCACCATAAATATTTGTAACAAAATCCCTGTGCTACACATAGGTGCTCTGGATTTTACATGTTCAGATCACTTGGTTTCTGTCAATTTTTTCTCAGAGCACAGCCCTGGCTACCAGTCCCTGCCTCTAAGAGAGTAACCCTCACATTTATCAGTATCTGAGTGACTGTTTGTTTTCCTCTAAACTAAACATAATTATCTGTTCCTGTGTCTAGTACTCAGAGGGAGAGCAGTGTTTAATGGAAGTTTTAGTGAGTGATGCTTTGACTCAGAAGAGCTACAAGTCCCACTTACTGAAGGCCAGATTAATGTCTTTGTGTGCGAAATACTCCATGGTCCCAGCTAAACTCCACAAATTCAGCATTACTTTGGGTGAGTTGAAAACTCAATTTAATAATTTACCAGTAATATGTTGTTTTAGTATTCTAGTAATATGTATATTCTAGTTAGACCAACATCACAGTGGGGATTATGTACCAACAGTTTATTTCCCTGGGAAAATCAAATCTGAAGTTTTGCATCTTATGAATCCTGGGCCAAAAGTATAGTCATGGGTAAAATTAAATTGCGATTTTTTAGGTTTTATGATCTCTGCATTTCTTTGCTTGTGGATCTATAGAAAGACCAGGATTTCTTGTAAAAATATGAGGCCAACCATCTCACCCCTTCAGATTCTGCAAGTACCGCTGGAATACTTGAGAATCCATTCTTTTGAAGAAATTTATTTGGCTAGGAAAAGTCAAAACACATTGATAGTTCTCAAAACATATAAAATATATTTGCTTTAATTTACGTTTCGGCAGTTGAAAGTTTTTGATCTTGGCATCTTTGATGTCTAGCATTGGAAAAGGTGGCTGTCCGACATCAAAACCATCAACTATCAAAGGAAATCTTTTTGAGATTTTTTCATTTCCCAACATTCTCTTAAGAAATCCAGAAATCTGAGAGCAATTATCTAATTTTGGACCCTTGCATGGAAATGTACCAAGCTTGTCATTGTGTGGTTACATGTAGCAGAGGATTGAATAATGGCCTGAACACTGAATCTAGTAAGGTGTCCATTAAGGGAATATTGACTCTATCATTGAATGATCTTGCTCTTTTGTGAAGATCCTGTTGTTGGTTCACTAACTGCTAAATGGAATGTGCTCTTGATGGATTTCACAAGCTAAGTTACATGGCTGAGGAGGTGTTTGGAGATGTGTTCAGCAGTGGGCGAAAGAAGGGAAAACAAAATAAAATTTGTCAGGTAAAAAGATGACCCTTCCCTATCATATAATGTTAGCCTGCAATTATCACCTCTAAGGACGTGTCACTGAAAAGTTTGTCTGACATGTTTCTTTTTCGTGCCTGCTCTCTTTCATTCAGCGGTAGCTATTTTCCTTTCCCAAAACATTGTATTATCGAATGAGCCAAAAGTGAAGCTCTACCTCCTACTTTGCCTTTATTCTGACTTAAATACTTACAAGGATATCAAACTGCAACCTACTGTTGAAGTTCTCCACATTCACCACCATTCATTCACCAAGACGTGCTTTTGTTTAAAGGGGTCTCAAAATTTAATGGTCAGGATCAAATTCTAGCCACATGATTTTTTTCAAGTGGAAGTGAATTTCTTTCTGGTATTTTTTTATTTTTTATTTTTTTCCTCTTCTTTTCAGGATGGTTTTTAGTCATCAACACTAATTCACAACACTTATTAAATGTTTTAATTTCTACAGCTAAGGGTCCTTATTCTACCAAGTATCAATCAATGCCTTTTCCATTTGTCACTCCTGAATGAGCTTCTGTCTTCATTACTACAAGTTGGCCAGTTATATGCCCAACAAGGAGCTGTAAGGGAGGCATTCAGGCAGTTTGTAGATGGTCTAACTGTGGCAAGACACTTTGCTCTACCTTACAGGTATTCATTATAATGCTTTTCTTTAACCACCCTTTTTTTAATGGTCTGATCCAATACACAGTAGTCAGCCATAATTATCTCGCACTTTTTCGTTCATTTTCAGCAGCACTGTAATGCCTTGTTAGTTCCCAGGCAGTAAAATGAATTCATTTTGTTTCTTCTGCATCCTGTGTCCCTGATGCATAAAAATCGGCAAAGACGCAAAATATTTCATGAAAGGCGTCCTGTAGGACTCAAAGAACGATAGATCGATTTGAAGATGATTTTTTGGTACAATATCCTGTTCGTGGGATTTCTGTGGCTGTTGTTTAAAAATGCACATTTATTTTAGTCTTTTTTTGTGCTTTAAATATATAGAAGGACTGTATTTTAATTTCAGTAAAATGTAATAAAGAGGTTTGGCGTCTGTCTCCGGATTAATTGCTGGATACATAAAGGCCCAAGCATTTTCAATTTTGGACTTTTTTTTTTTGACTCAAGGACTCATGATTTTTGACAAGATGAGTCCCAGAACTCACCAAAATCATTTGTAACAAGATTTCTCTCTTTCTCTTACAGGCTTTAAATTCTTTTTGTTCGTTACATAATGTAATTGCAAGGTTTCAGCATGGAAGTAGCTAAATTGAAATCACTGTTATCGGTGACTTCTATATAGCAAAAGAATAATTACTGGCCAGGCATTAGATACTATTTTCATTTTGCTTGGGAGATAAACATTTTACACAAACTACGTATAAAGGGAATGTAGCATTGCCGCCTGTATTCGACCTGATTGCATATTGATAGAACTTATAATTCTTCTCCTTTAGGATTGCAGAATTTCTCATTAACATTGCTCAGTTGAAACTCAAACAAGGCAAGGGTGATAAGTGCGAAAGTCGTCTTGAGCAGCTCAGTGGACTCCTACAACCAGTTTTGAAACCTTCCAGCCGATCCAAGCTTTCCAAAAATGAAATTCAAGAACCTCTGCTTCTTGGTCATCCAGAGACATGCGAGTGTGTAAACTGTATTGATCCAACACTTCACAACATACTGATTAGGTACTCCTTGAGTGTTGCCAAATATCTCTTGTATGTTTCAAGACCCGAGCAATTAGGGGAGGCTTTAGAACTGGTGCATTCGGTGTGTCAGTGTGCTGAAAAGAAAATGGTGATGTGTGTTCAGTTGAAATGATTTTATGTGGTTGTGCATGTAGTGCTCCAAATGAAGGGATTTTGAAAGAGACAACGAGGAAAGGCCAAGCAAAGTCTGCAAAAGGCAGAAAACAGAAAGAGGACTCAGGGCTACAAAGTTGTTCTGTTTCACAGTTAATGTTTTGTCAGTATTTGCTTCATTCTACTGCATTTAGTGCACCTGTTTATAAACGTTTTTGTTTCAATTCTTTATTCCTTTATTCATTTTAGACCTACAGAGCTGGATGCATTAGTTTTCGGCCATCTTCATTCACTTCTGACCAGATATCTTTCAGATAATCCTCTCAGTTCTGTCGTCAGGGCAAACAAGCACCTTGATAACTTTGTCGTGAGAATATTGAGGGAATTCTGCGGTGACTAATCAAGAATCTTCCATTTGTTTGGCTCACAAATATTTCTCAAGGCCATTGGTACCTTGGAAAAATAAGGACAGACAATGAAAAGTGAGACTTTTCTCTTCTGCTCTTATAAATGCACTGGTGTCTCATAGCTCGGGTACGTTTTTTTCAAGATTGCCAGGTGACTATGGGCGTATTAACTTGATTTTTCCTATAGACGACCACCACCTTCCGTAAGTGAGCGACCACTTCGTCGTACAATGTAATTATTCACTTCTTATTTCAATTTTTCTATTTTCCCAAATACACCCCCTAATTTTTCTGCATTAAAGACATTCGAAAAATCATCCAAAAATCATTGAACTAAGGACTCCAAACTAATTGAGTCATTTTTCGATTGAATGAAATCTTGGCTTGATATTTTAAAAAAGGGTTCGGGAAATAAACGAAAAACAATGCTTTTTGCCAGAGACTCCCACCTTAAACGCTGCTCCCCATGATCAATTGATTTCACGAAACATGTTCTGAAGAAGATGTAAGCAACTATAAAACTGGTTTGTGTTGTTACACATATATGGCCCTGTCAGATGAGAGAAGTGTGAACGCGTAACCTAAATTTCCTTCCCCTTCCCTTTCGAACGCCTACCAAGCAGGCTATGCATGTGGGTGTGCGAAAATTGCCATCTGCCTCCTACCCCTTCCTCTGCTATCCCGGTCCCCTATGGTATGTTTTTGTATGAGGGAGGCTGTCAGGATATTTCATGTGGCATACATGAAGAACTTTCCTGAGGAAGCCAGACGATGGCGACGGCGTTGGTCTGATTGCAGTGTGAAGAACATTGAAAAGCAAACGAAAATCTGAACTTGGAACTGTAGCGGGGTAAGAAAACTTGTTTTAACATAGCACTTTCAGTTAGAAGCATCCTCCATAGCTATGCCAGGCGCTATGCTGATCCCCCGGGCTGATCGGCGGGTTGCTTCTGCTTGCTGTTATCACAAATAGCTGTGATTTGCTCTTTACTTACAAATAAGTCCCCACTTTTTTCTGAAATGATACATTAACCGACCTAGTTGAGGTGTAATAACTTGTTTCGAGAAATACGATGGACTCACTTCCGGCTTGGTATCAAGGTTCTTCCCCAGCGAACCAATTAAATACAGCTGTTTTATTATAAGGAATTCACATTACGGACTGTTGCCGTATTTCGTTTCCTTGCTCTCCGTAGAAAGTTTAAACCTAGAAACACATTTAAAGTTTTAAAATAATGGAAATCTGTTGGAATGATCATTTGGAGACATTTCATTCTTTATCCGCCCCACCCCCTAAGAATGGGGGATTTTTGAATAGGGTAGCTCAGATTCTTCTCCAAAGAAGCCGAAATTGGACCCTTCAGACCTTTTTTAAAAGTTGCAGACAAATAATTAATCTTTCAAATTTCATTTCTCAAAGGGCACCAATAAAAAGTTGAGCATTCAGATTCCAGCCATCTTTGCTAGGGGGGAGGCACAGGAAAAAATAGCGGATTCCCATTTTTGGATATTTTAGGGTATTTAAAGAATGCCCATAAAAATCCCAAATTTGGCAAAGTGAGACAAGTCCCAACCAGGGAATTCCCAACCAAGTTCCCTGATTGGGACTTGTCTCACTCTTCCAAATTTGGGATTTTTGTGGGTATTCTTTAAATACCCTAAAATATCCAAAAATGGGAATCCATTATTTTTTCCTGTGAGGAGGGGAAGGTGCACATAATCCACCTTCTGAGCGTCAGATTTCACGTGTGGTTTCACGTTACTTTTGATGATCTTTGTTGTAAACAAACCCCTAAAGTTCGGACATCCGTTCTCTGCCACATACTGTACTTGTATGAACTACGAGTTGCTATTTCAAGTTCGCGTTACAGTCAAGGCAGGTCAAGCGTTCCCCCAAGATTCTATTAATAACTTAAATATTTGAAAAATGAATCTGTTAATCATTCCTGTAACTATTGTCAAATTCAAATCGGCATTCCTGCATGAACAATGAGCAGTGAATATTTTACGAGAACTTCCCTGTATTTGGTCAGATTGAAAATCTTTGAATGGATTAAATTTGTTAGAAGACATTTACATCAAATTCAGGGAAACTGAGCTGGTAGAAATTTCGTAACTGAATTGCATGTGAATTCACAGCTCATTACACACGCAAGAATGCAGAGATGAATCTGAAATCTACAACTATCGACGGATTCAACTTTCAAATAATAAACTAATTAATGGGATCTTGGGGGGTACCCTTGACCTGGCTTGACTGTAATTTATAAATTTCATTTCCCTTTTGCTGTTTGAAACTCGGATAGTTTAAGGTTCAAAAATGTCTAAGCAGAAGAATAAGATCGATTTTAAGGCCAAGAGTATGGCAGAACTGCAGGAACGAGGACTAAACTTTAACTTTAACTTTAACCCATTCGCTCCTGGAGATTTTGCCGAAAAACGCGTTTTGAAGCTAGTCGAGTGGTTTTCTGGTCACTGTCGTGCTATAAAGAGCTAAAACTTACCACAAACCGGTTTACAGGTCGTACACTTCGCGGCCTTCTGATCCAGATGGAAAATATCAGCTTGCGAAGTTCGGGCATGCGCAGAAAGCAAAATTTCGAGATAGTTTTTGGGTTTAATAGTGGCAAAGCAGTCTTGACTTTTACTTTTCGCTTTCTCTCCTCCCTTCTTTTTTCGCTTTTCTTTCCTCATTTTTTTTTCTCTTG